TGTTCCCGTGAACAAATTGGATAATAACCCCAGCAACCATGGCAGTTTCTGCAGATACTACTAAAGCCCAAGTTTAAAAGACGTAGGCAGTAGTTAGTTTCTGTGGAAACCTGTTGAACCAGACAACTATAATTAGTACAGGATTGTACACTGTTTATGCAGTTATATTTAAGACAATTCGATGAAATGAAGCTTATATTAACTGACGTATGTTTATGGGAATATACATATGTATACATATAAATTATAACGATATAAAAGTTTGAAATACAATAAGATGCGCTACCATAGAATACGTCTATTCGATTCAATTGCTCCCTTGTGACTACAACATCATGCTATCTGCGTTCGGCGCAGTGCGCTAATACGGAAGCCAACGAAATATCACTGTAACACTTAAAAAAGTTTCAAAGTTCCATTTATATCATTCTGTCAGAATTTCCATAGTTCCAGCAACAATCAAAATTACAGAACAAACATCAAATCCAATACAAATATTTACAGAATAAGGGAAGGAATCTAAAGTAAAAAGCAAAGTTACAATGGGATCACATAAATCCGGTAACTCACACCATTTATGTAAATTCTTCGAAATTATATTCAGCTCTGACCGTGCAGTTGGTGGAAGTCATATGTACATAACAATGTTATCGGTTAAACATTTACATTAGGCCATGCATTATATAAAAAATGTACACGCGCGGACATGATTGTGAAAACATGATTAACTGTCCCTTTGGTGTACAAATTACAAAATATGTGCATAGTCAGGCGAACCTTAAGCCTTCCAGAATTAATGCACTAGAATACACGTAATCTTGTATTTACGAAAGTATTCCGTAAAATAATGTTAAATCTGTTTCTTCAATTTAAAATAAACGCATCAGTAAGTTTACAAGCTCAGTATATTTATTAATTGCGATTATTAAATATATAGTATATATTTATTAAATCATTAGAATAGAAATCTATAAGTCTAAGAAAAAGTTCTCTATTGTTTCCTCCAAATACTTATGTTTTAATAAAAAGAATAAAAAATTTCAACACAAAAGACATTGGCCGGACAGCTAGAAATGTGAGACACAGTAACGTTTTCTTATTATAAGCAACTGCACATTGTTGCGTAAATTCAGCTTAGCACAAATTATTGTAAATAACGCGGTCGAACACGACAGTATTTTGCGCGATGTCTAACAGTAGGGTATATAAGGTGTAAACTACTGACAGAGACTCACTTCGAAGTTTTTTTTGAACCTTCTCGCATGGAAACATAGCTTCGTAATTCCATGCTTGTTTCTTTCTACTCGTTCGTGTCCAGCGATTCTAACAAAATGCAAATCTTTTCCTGTAATATCTTCCTTCTTGGACTAATAAACATCGCTGTATTGGTGCACAGCGGGTAAGTGAAAGGTACTCGTATTATAACGTGTAATACCTCGTATCCTCTGAAGCCTGCGAATTAATGTCATATAACAAATTTATTTAATTTAGCATACGACCAAACAAATAAATTTTCGTTACAAAATATTTTCATTTCACCGCTTTAGGGCTTATGTTATGCGTGTAATTTCATACATTGGGGGGGGGGGGGGGGGGGGGGGGGGGCAATGTAATTTTCTTCCGCCATCAAAGGGGCGGGCAAAATTCAATTATTTTCTTCTAGAGTGGTGCAAAAACCACTTTATTCCGTCCAGGAGAACAAGCCCTTGACATCGGTTAATTCTTTACCCTGGAACGTGCAACGAACCATATACGGCAACCATCTGAAATGATTGACAGACTGTTTCTTTTTGCTTGTTCACAGCGAAGGGAATAGCATACTGTCCAAACAAAACTCCGAGCTGTCTATTGAACCAATAGTAGGTCGATTTGACCATAGTGAAGGCCCCCATTGGGACCACCGTACTCAGCAACTCTATTTTGTTGATATCGAGGCGCAACAAATTTGTAGATTCAATTTGGTAACAAAAAGTCTTTCTTGCATCACTATAGGTAAATTAATGATTTACATATAGATTCTAATTTAGTGCAAAATTATTAACGAATCAAACTGTGGATACTCATTTAGTAACTGTTATTAGAAAATGGTCCTGTTGGATTTGCTATGCCTGTTGAAGAAGAACCACAGAAATTTGTAGCTGGTTCTGCTACTGATTTCCTTCTGATCACATGGAATGGTGATAGCAATTTCACGCAATCTCTGCCTGAAACATTAGCTATTGTCGATAAAGATAGAAAGGGTACTAGATGGAACGATGGAAAAGCGGACTCCTCAGGAAGATTTTGGGGCGGTATGTTGAAAATACAAATCCATTGACAAAAAAGAGAAATTTTGCAGTATTTCTACTTACAACATTGCAATATTTTCTGCTTCCTTTGTAGGCACTATTGGGCCAGAAGTTAACGATGTTGTTACACCTGGACAAGCATCTTTCTACAGGATAGACTCAGACTTGAAACCAAAGAAGGAAATACCCAATGTTACAAACAGTAATGGATTAGCTTGGAATGTTGAGGATAACACACTTTACTATATTGATACACCTACACTTCAAGTAGCAGCATTCGATTTTGAGCCCATTCAGGGAACTATATGTACGAAATTGTTAAAGTAAATTCATTTCATAAAATATGAAAATTCAGAATAACCAATGATTATATCAATGATTTATAGCTAACAAAAGAATCGTATTTGATCTTCAAAAGAATAACATTACTGGATTACCTGATGGTATGACCATAGACAGAGATGGAAATCTTTGGGTGGCTTTATTTGGTGGGGGTGGAGTAAGTATTAATGTTCAAATTTTTATGTACCATGTTAGTAACAAAATACTTAATCAATAGGTGATTCATGTGGATCCTAAAACTAATAAGGTACTTCGGTTTCTGAAGCTACCTGTAACACAGGTAACTAGTTGTACGTTTGGAGGTCCCCTTCTGGAAACATTATTCGTAACAACATCCAGCCGTAATTTAAATGCACAGAAATTGGTGGAAGAACCGTATGCTGGTTATGTGTTTGCTGTACATGGTTTAGGTGTACGTGGCCTTGCAGCAAATTCATTTAAATTGTAATTTCTTCCTGGTGAAATTGCAAATGTATTGTGTGTATTAAAAAGATTTTTCTACATCGATTACTATCTATGTTAACATGTTCGTAAATATTAAAAAGAATCCCAAAACTAAATAAAATTATTTCATTTCTTCCCTTTCCAAATATGAATATACCATTCAGCAATGTTATTAGTGGAATATTATTTCCAAAATTAAAACAATAAAAATTTACATGAAATTTTGATAAGCTACAATAGAAAAACAGAGATGCTTATGTCCTCAGTAAGTAATTTATAATGTTACCATATAGATAATTGATCAGTGTTTAGATTTATATCAGAACCAGATATATTTAGTATGATATCACCATAGTTGCATAAGGTATCTTATAATCACTTATGATAACCTTAAGTGCTCATGTGTGGAAAAAAGACTTGTCCACGTAATCGTGTAACATTCTTTATATGGCAGATATACGAAAGTCTAGTAAGACGAAACTACGCACAACGCCAGCTTCCACAAGAAATAAAATTTCTTGTGCATTTCTTTTACAACTGAATGATCAACTAGTGGTGGTATGTAATTAAATACTTCTTTACTTCAACATTACCGTAATATGCATTTAGTATTCTCGTTTAAAACAAGATGTGTATATTATTTTAAATATGTATAGTGCGTGCGTATAGTTTTGTATTACGCGTATTATTTATATACATAATATTACACTTGTATCATATATACATATGATTTCTAATTACATAATTCTTCATTAGAAAGATGTCAGAATTGACTGTTAAACCACTACTGGGGCCGTACAACCTTGGGGAAGGTCCACACTGGGACTGTGATTCTAAGCAGCTCTATTTTGTTGATATATTTGCTCAAAAATTATTCAGATACAATCCTTCTACATCAACACTCACATCTGCTTTTATAGGTAAGTTATATTATCTATACCTGTATCATTCTGATATTTTTTACTTCACTCTGTATGGTATTATGTATACGAATTTTATGATTTAGAAAATGGGCCAGTTGGATTTATCGTTCCTGTTGATGGCGTTCCTAATAAATTCATAGCTGGAAGCAGTACAGATATTGTTTTGGTAACATGGGATGGAAAAGACATTTCAAAGTGTGAAACCAAAACATTGCTTACTGTAGGCGATCGTACAGAAACCAGGTGGAATGATGCAAAAGTAGATTCTACTGGAAGGTTATGGGGTGGTATGTCGAATGTCAACAATTGAACATTGAAGTGTTGTTATACATTTCTTGTGCTATATAATAAAATAATTTTATTAGGAACAATGAGTCTTTCGAGAACTGAAGAATTCCCACCTGATAAAGGGTCTTTCTATAGCATCGACAATGATCTTGTGTTAAAGACACAAGTAACTCCTGTAACTATAAGCAACGGAGTGGCTTGGAGTCTTAACGAAGACACACTTTATTACATTGATTCACCGAGCTTGCAGATAGTGGCATACAATTACAACTCTCAAACAGGAGTTATTTGTAAGAAATGTACAATGTACCTTACATCGTATAATATAATACTTCTTGTGTAAAATAAAGTTACATCTTCGATTATTCTCTTTTCGTAGCTAATAAAAGAACGATCTTCGATCTTCGGGAAAACAATATTCCTGGATTTCCAGATGGTATGACAGTCGATATGTCTGGAAATATTTGGGTAGCTGTATACGGTGGAGGTGCTGTAAGTATTATAACAATCTACACGATAACTTGTTGTTTGTTATTAACACTCATTGTAGAATATATAATTGACGTAAAGTTTCTATAAATAAAACATATTTAATTATGCAGGTACTTCAAATAAAACCGGAAACAGGTGAATTGTTGCGTCTTGTCAAGATTCCCGGGGTCGCAAATATAACCAGTGTTGCGTTTGGTGGTACTGACCTCGACGTATTATACGTAACAACAGCGCAAACGGGACTGAAAGAGGATCAATTGAAGGTACAACCATACGCTGGCTACGTATTTGAAGTTAAAGGTCTGGGCGTGCAGGGTTTACCTGCCAATTCGTTTAAACTGACACAGAAAGTATTATAAACGCAACTTATAAATATTCTCATATGTACAACTCTCTTAAACTACAATTCTTTAGTACTAAGTTGCCAGAATAATCAATGAAACAGTATAAACAATCATACTTTGTAGTACTGTTCGAAAAGAAATAAATTTCATACGCATCAAAAAACGATCGTTCAACTTCTTTACGTAACACGAATAAACGATATTTTAAATATATGCATATATATATACGTATATTTTGTTTTACTGGAAATGATGTTCTTATAAATAATTCGTTAGAAAATGTACAAGGCTGGCTAATACTTAATTACACTTGACTATCATTCCTTTTTTCTTTCACATTTACATAGAAAACAAATTCACCGGTTGCTGAATGTACACAGTAGAAAAATAATATATTGTTTCATTAGTATGTAAAAACATTTCTCCTTGGAAATGTAAACCCAATATTCATTATTATGTATGCTGGTGTTATTTCGACTATTACCAAAAACTAATGAATGCGAATGATAATCCAGACACTGACGTGCTGAAGTTTGAAGAGTTACATGTCCATTGTTCTTTCCTTCGATTATAGATTATTTCCATAATTTAGAATATACTTTGTTGTTACCATTATTATTATCATTATCTATTCTCGTATGAGAAAATCAAAAAGCCAGTATAGAATGATATCATTAGGCACAAAAGTGAGAAGGCTAGCAATCTATTTCAGTCATCATCGATCGATATGAAACACCGCGCAATGGTAACGATGTTATATAATGTTGTTCGTTATAAACCATAAACTGAGAACGATGTAAATTCTTGTTCTTACCTTTCTCGGACAACGAAAAAGGAAAGAGACATTGTCGACACTTCAGTATTAAAATTGGTGGACTCAGTCGTCCAACGTTATAATCTCAACGCTGTCGTTAACAGATTTCTCCCCTTTTTTGCTAGAAATACTACTCGATTTTCCTCTAGGTAAATCATATATTGTCATACAATCCGTGGTCGATGGTCTCAAAGGATCGGACATTTTTTGTGGGACCACGGTCACGCCAGAGGATAAACTCTTTGGATACTCCATCGTCGACTTCATTTGTGCTTTCTGCTGAGGTATGATCTCTAAATGTGAATGTTGCTTCAGCTGCGACAGCATCGACAGAGCCTCCGCGGAGGTGGTACTTTGAGCGAACGAATTCGGCAACGGTGTCGATATCTCCATCGAAGCCGACGTTTTCGTTTTACCAGTGGACTTTTTGTAATTAGAGTACTTCGTACTTGGACCCTTCAGTCCGGGTTGAGGATTAATCGGGCTCACGGAGATTCCACTCAACTCGGGGGGTATATACGGCGGTTGTGTCATCGACGAGTTACCAGGCAACGTGCTTAATAGATTAGAGAAGTTGCTAGGCAGTGGAGGCATTGTTTTCGATGATTTCGTCTTCCTGATTGGATTCTGCGTGCTCGCCTGAGTATAGGATCGTTGGGAATTCTTTTTCGACAGCAATTTGTGTTGCAGCGATGTCCCCGAATGGGAAGGGGCAACATTCATCGACAACGATTGCTTCAGGCTTATCGACGGGCCCACCACCGAGTGTGCAACCTGAGGCACCGCCGCAGTTGAGTTCGCGGTAACGTTACTTTTTAACGGGGAATGCGACAAGGATGGATTGTGCGCTGGTTGGGGCTCGGTCAGAGATTTCGAGACTCGAATCTGTGGAGCACTCATCTGTTTCGGTGGGCTGGTTTTCACATGTTGAACCACGGATGGCTTCAGAAGAGACACCTGAGTGGTCGGTGGCTGTAAAACTGGTTTCGAAGGTTGCGACATTTGCAGAGACTTTGGCAACTGGACCGGCAACGAGGACGACTCGCCTTGGGGATTTTGTTTCGACAGTTTGTTTTTAGGTGGCACTGTGTTCACCGGTGTTATAGATATACTAGGTCTATCTTTAGCCAATGCTGCAGTTGTTGTGGTAGTTTTCGTGGTAGCTGCCTGCTGGTACATAGGTGTGGCGCGTGCAGTGCTCGCCGTTGAGTTACTTAAACTCAACAGCTGCTGTACCGTCAGGTTATTCAAGTTACCTAAATTATTCATACTGGGAGTGGCGTTTATATTGGAAGTGCTCATTGTAGGCACGGTATTGATGTTCGTTGCACTGGCGATTGTACTGTTTAAACCGCTCGCCAAGTTCGATAACGAGGAGAGATTGTTCTGGTACTGTCTGAGAATGTCCTGATAATTTCCCATTTGATTTAAATAATTCATCGCTGACAAGTGATCCATCATACTGCCGCTTAAACCACTAGTTAGTATTGCGGACAGTATATTTGGGTCGACCAATGGATGCATGAAATACGGATTCATCAGGGACCGATTCCCCGATGCCCCCATATAGTTGGCGAAATTTGCTTTCGCGTTGAACTGATTCATCGCATGGCCGCTCTGCTGCATGGCCTGTAAATATTTGTTAACATTCGGTGGTCGTCCTCTTGGTCGACCCGTGGATGTTATATTTTTGTACGGTTTCCGACTCTGGGATGACTGCGGCGACGGTGAACTAATTTGAGACTGAGATGTGACCACCTGTGGAATCGATTAATCCAGAGTGTCGAAAACATGTATGCAAATCGGAGAGAAAAATTAGTGTAAAACTTACAGGAATCGGAGACGTTGCTTGTGGTTGTACTTGGACGTCTGTGCTGGGTTTATCGAAATTGGAGAGAAATTTATTTAAAACTTTGCGATTGTAATTGTAGTCGTTACAGAATTTCGAAGCAATTTCTAGAACGTTTCCTTCCAAGTTCTGTCAAGGAACAATTAAAATGAGTGTGATTTCCCCTTTGGTTTATTTGTATATTTTTTGTATGAACACAAACTTACTTTATTGCCGACATATGTTTTGTATGTATCCACTAGCAGGGCAGACAGTGTTTGTATGGTTTGCTCTTTAGTCTGAAAACTTTTCAATGCTCTTTGATACACCCAATATGTATCGAGAAGTACTTGGGTTCTACTGTCGGGAGTTTTGTTAGACGAGGAATCAGGGGTGGCAGTTCCCATTAATTGAACCTTTGTTCTAAGAGACTGTAAACAGAGTGTCAATGCTTGACGAGACAACTGCTCCCTTTCGGAATCACGTAGATATTTTCTAAAAAAAAAAAAAAAAAAAAAAAAAAAAAAAAAAAAAAAAAAAAAAAAAAAAAAAAAAAAAAAAAAAAAAAAAAAAAAAAAAAAAAAAAAAAAAAAAAAAAAAAAAAAAAAAGAATAATATACAAGTTTTATGGTGAAAACATTAATTTTTTATACTAAAAGTTTAAAGGACACAAAATATCGTTTTTTTAATTAGATAACATACTTATCTGATTCTGGAATTTTCCCCAATTGCACGCTCAATTGCATCAGCATTCGACCATCATTTGTTTCTTTAAGTACCTGCATGAGTAACGTTACGCATCTTGACATATGAAATGCAAAACTACCAGGTCTATCCACCTCTCGATTTGGTATGTGCCAAACACCCTAATAAAGATAAATAAAAGTTATCATAGATAGATGATGATAAGGAATTTCAGTATGATACGCGTATAAATAATAACAGCCATTCTCAGATCTAAGTGTCAACAGAAGAATAATACTATTTAGGAACTAAATAGAAATATACATCTTGTTATAGAATAATTACAAACAACAGATACATCGTTATTAATTATTGATAATATCTCTGTAATTTGGAACTGTTATTCCGGATATTTTTCTAATATTGGGAACATGAAGATAAATACCAAGCACATTGCTATAATTCCACTTTGTTTGGCATGGTGCAGTATTAGGTAAAAATCAGGAAACTTCTATTTCTTTCTTTTACATTTTTAACGTGATTTTTCTTAAATTCCTTTACACGGTATATATTTCATCACAAAAACTTTTGCAAGGTCTATCAACGCTAGCGAGAAAATCGTTATAGATACAGATGCAGGAGCTGACGATGCAGTGGCCATACTTCTTATGCTTCAATCTGAATACAGAGGATTCAAAGTCGTAGCAATTACTTGTACATATGGAAACACGTATGTTGACAATGTAGCAGAAAATGTACTTAAAATTTTAACAATTGCAAATAGAAGTGACGTAAGTATAATTGACTTTTTACAAAGTATTACATATGTGCTACTTAATGGTATTTCCACACTGCATTGTGCAGATACCTGTATATAAGGGAGCACAGAAAGCATTATTGAACGAGTATAAGCCACACGATTACTTTGGCCAAGATGGCTTGGGAGACTTTAACTTCACAGAAAAAATTATTGCTAAAGTGGATAAAAGTAAACATGCAGCTGTGGCACTGGTAGACTTAGTAAAAGAATATCCAGGTTGGATATCAATTAAATTGTCCAATAAAAAGAATAGTAATTCATCTCAGAATTTGTGTCTGAATATATTCTGTGCATTTGTTTGTAGATCAAATAACTCTGTTAAGCATTGGACCGTTAACAAATGCGGCTATAGCAACGGCGTTGGATCCTTCGTTTATAAAACACTTGAAAAGACACATTATACTAGGCTCCAGTGTGTCTGCTATTGGCAATGTTCTACCGAATGTTGAGTTCAATTTTTATGAAGATCCAGAAAGTAATTATATTGTATTCAATCGCAGTAATACAAATATTACTTTATTTCCATGGGAAACTTTTATTAATAGTGGCATATCTGTGGTAATTATTTCTAGAAGTAACTAAAACATTATCTGCCAATTACTGCAACTTATAATGAAAATATCATGTAACAATACAACTGCTCTTTAAACAGGATTGGCGCACTAACGTATTGGGAAAATTGAATTCTACTATAATGAATTTTTTAAATAAAGCAGAACGAATTAGTTTATCAGACACCACTACGTGGAGTGACTCGGATCCAATGGCTGCTGCAGTTATGATATGGCCAGAACTTATAGAAGCATCTATAATAACAAATGTAAGTCCCGTAGTCGATGGAATGGCTAGAGGCTCTGTGCTTGTAGATTACACTAATCTCACCGGCAAACCACAAAATGTAAAAATTGTACAAAAATTTAATGTGGCTTCTTATCAAGAGATGTTGCTGAAAGCGTTTTCTTAAATTCATCAAACGATAACAAGTGTAGTATTTGTTAGGCAAATATTTTGAAGAAATAAACGATAATGTACTTACACTGAAGAAATTAGTGCTCTTTCTATCGGCAAAAAGTCCCTGAAAGCTTTCCCCACGATAAAACTGACAGTTATAGCTGTCCAATAAAAGATTCCTGCACTTCGTTATATCCTTGGCAGTTCTGTTGTTAAAGAAGAAGTGTGATAATCTATAGAATGATTTGTAGTGTTCGGAGAACCTTAAAATGCACTGTTCTAGGCCAGCTAAACAGAATGCTATTAAAGTCGCCACTTCTTCATCTGTCATATGTTCCTCCTTTTGCACAAAATCAGAATCCTTTTTCTTCTTTTCACAGTCACTTTCAGGAACAGAGTCGCTATCTGTGTCACTGGAACTATCGCTGTCAGAACTATCATCACTGCTGCTCGATTCGTCACTGCTACTGGAACTGGAATTATTCGTTTCCGTTGTCGTTGTGGTTGTCTGAGTTGTCGTGGTACTTTCTTGAGAACCTCTTCTGCTCAATGTCACTTCTTCTTTGGCAGTAGTTTTCTTCTTCTCCCCTGTTTTATCCTTTGTCTCTTTATTACCACACTGCAAGTCCTCGCTCTGTAGCCATTTCCCATCGAATTTCCGAGTATCCTCGTCCTCAGGCGTCGATTGTCGTGTTTCTTGACTGATTTCCATCGCCTGTTTCATCAGCGCGTCCATTAAATCTTGAACATTCTCCGACTTCCCCTCAGCCTCGAATACATTATTAATTTTCAGCGAATTCAATGGACCTTTCTTGTTCTCGTCGGCAAGTGAAGTCTGCTGCTGCTTTATTTTCTCAACACTTTTCGTCTTCGGTCTCTTCTTCTGCAACTTGGACTCGTTACTCTCGTCGCTGGACAACACCATAATGCTGTCGTCCTTTCTCTCTTTTTGCGAGACCATATCGCAAACCTTTGTGATCACGTCGTCTATCAAAGCCACGACATCCTGCATCAACTGTAAATGCGATACATTGCCCAGTTTTATTTTCTTCACGTTATCCTGGGGTGTGTCGGTGGGGGATCGTTTCCGTGTTTCCAGTTTCTGACTCGTACAGAGACCTTTGTTCGTTCTGTCCACTATCTCGATTTCCTCGATGCTGTTCGAACGCTGGGAAATCGTGACAACGCCTCTGTCCCCGTCGCCAGGGAACTCCACATCTTTCCCGTTGCTTTTATTCCCGGTGAAAAGCCCATCCTCCTTGGCCTTGTCGTTCAATTTCGAGCTGTATTTCATAAAGGGTCCATCGGCACACTTCGCGAGATGCAATTGCAGCAGCTGCCCCAGCGATTTCTTTAATGGTTTACCCTCGTGTTGCTCGAGATACTTCAATATACTCGCATGGATCCGATAATGTACTTCTAACGCCTCGACCGAGAGATGTTGCGGACATTTGTGACTTATTCTACGTGGATACTGGGCATTATTATGGTACAGCAGCTCGCTAGCCTGCAATCAATGATAGAATGATGAAACACGGCCTTCGCTAGGGGAAAACGTGACGTAAGAAAAAGGCTCTATCACTTGGTAAAATTTATTTCAAGTACTGAAATAAATGTTGAACCGAATGTTAATTTGGTAGAAATTTCAATAACTCCGAGACCAAGTGATAGGAGGACTTTCCATTACATTAGAATTTCCCCTAGTGGAAGCCAAGTTTGCATGTGAGGGTGCATGAAAGGTAAATGCAGTAACTGCAAGAGAAATACGTGCGCGCACCTTTGCATAATGTTCTAAAAATATAGGAGGATCCTGATTTTTCTTCTCCGCAACCTTTCCAAGCATGTACTGGTAAAGCCATCTTTCATCGTGGGGTATAGGTCCATCTTTCATTTCCACGAATAAGCGAGAGCAGGATTGGAAACATTGATTCGCGATTTCTAACATTTCTTCTTTCCTGGTCTCTAAAATCTCAAATCGTTCCATACTCAACGTGTCAGTTTCCTGCTTCAACAATCGCGAACAGAACGAGTGAACACCATAGGCGAAGTTCCCGTATTCCGTCCATATGATGTGATTACAAGAATCCAGTTCGACGGCGTGTCTATAGCTGGACTGAGTTAATTTTGCTTTTGCTAAGAGTTTATCCTCGTTTCTAAATATAACGTGAAATACATTAATACAATTTTTTTTTTACAATGAATAATCGAATATAATTAACGATACTTACATGGGTTTATACTTGTTTAACCAAGTCTCTATTACAGTACCCGACGACATTGCTAAACCGGTCCAAGAGCTTAATCTCGTCGGATAAAAGCAAAGATCTAACAGATAGTATCTAATTGCCACGCTCCATTTACAATTTTTGAAATAGAAATCACCCAACAGATAATAAATAGTGGACATTGAATGTGGCAACGGCTTCTTAACCGTTGGCATCGTATCACGCTCGCCCATTGCATAAGCCATCATTTCCTCGATCACTTGATTCGGATCGCTTTCCGGGGGAATTAATTTTATTATCCGTTTAAATAAATCCTCTGTGTCGGCGTTGATCGTCAACGATCTAGGGGAGCAAAATTCTGGTATCTGCTTCGGTTTGTAAAAATCGAACAGCAACTGCGCTCCTTCCCACGTCATTTTCATCTGAGGCACCCCATGATCCTCAATGTGTTTCGGTCGTCCTTTATTCACTTTGTTGTAGTGGCCGTAGAGACAGTAAAATATTTGTTCTAGATACTTCGAGACTTTACTTTTTATACCGGCGAATTGTGGCGTTTCTAATTTCGGAATGACCAAATTTAATGTGAAAAACAAAAGTTTCGCCTCGTTGTAACAACACCACGAATGTCTGCCCATAAATTCGTGAGCAATGAATAGAATCATGACAGACGCTGGAACACCTTCGTCTTCGTCCTCGGATTCCGAATAGTTGGAACTGTGCTGTCTGTTCTTGTACGACGACTCGACCTTTGCTCTTTCTTTGTCCTCCTTGTATTGTAAAATGTAATGCAACAGAATCCACGGGAGAACAGTCTCGAGTGGCATTTCTACGGTAGTATCCGACACGTCTAACTGATTGCACACAATGTGAACTAAATTTTGCACCAATCTGGAAAGACGAGTCTCCGGCAGGTATCGTAGAACGAAAGTGCTGACCTCGATCGTGCAAGCCTCTAGCTTCTCGAGCGCCATTAAAACCGAACCCGTCCATTTCTTTTGTTCAGCTTCGTCGGTAGTGTTCAAATAATTCTGCCAGGCTTCACTTAGACAAGCCTCGGCCCACACGTAACATTCTTCGTACTGCTGAAGATGCCACAAACTATCCAACAGCATAGACAACTGCTGTACTCTATCGACTATATTATCGCTAACGGACAGAAATTTGTTTCCCTGTTTCGCAAATTTGAACGTGTCTTGTAACACGTAGGCTAATTCGGCGTATTTTTTCTCGTCGTACAAGTGTTGGATTTCTCCTAGTTTCTGTCCCCTGTATTTAAAAATCATCTCTCAGAACTCCGTACGTCAATATGTAAAGTGTTGTCGAAGAACATACATACCTTTGAATAGATTTTAATTTTTTCTCCACAATTTTAATACTGATCTGGGAATTGTATTTACAGTTGGACAATTTCAGATAAACACTTTGATTCTGTTTCTCTAATTCTTGTAAGTGATTCAATAACTGAAAAGAAATGTAACATTCACCTCGTTTTCGGAAGAAATATTTTGTTGACACATCAACATGAAGTATTTTAGTTACTCACTAATTCTAACGTTTCAATGACTATATCTGTATCCCCTTGACACAAAAAGATATTAGCTTTAAGCCACAGAACCCTCACTAATATGAATACTGCATTCCTGTACCAAGTTTATTTAATCTAAAACAAAGCATTGTTCGTATCAAATGAATAATACATCTAGTAATATATATAAAAAAGAAATCATACGTTGAAGAAGGTACGATGTCTGGTTTATTGTTCAACCACTTATCCGTATGAAGTTCACCGAATAATAAAGTCATTTCAGCGTCCAATTTTAAAATATTGTCGCTTACATCTTCTTCGAACGGAGATGGATGAGGAATGTGATCTCTGTTAGAGAACAAAAAAATGTACTTTACTAGCTAATTTCCAGATGAAATTCCTTTGTTTTTCATACCTCATAAACGAATATGCTTGTAAATATACTTCTGACAATCCTTTCGGCCATTCTTGATCCCATTTAATGCATAAGAATTCAGTATATTTTGCTAAGATTATCATCAGGTTACCTTTACCACTGTGTTCGGTAATAAACATATTTACATCGGCTGCTTCGAACTCTGTACCAAAATAATTTTGCTGTCGACTGTAGAAAAGAACCTCAGTAATTGCAAGGATACACATCGAACATTCAATAACGTGAATTACCTTCTGTCAGGACTCGGTGATTTCGAACTTTCAGAACTTTTCACAATCTCTGTGGCATTATTACTATTATTTTCTTGATTGCTAAACAGCTGATACAAGTCCATCGTGTCCATAGAGTCATCCATACTTCTAGAAGGATCGTCTTTGGTTAGTTTCACCGAATCTGGCCTGAAACATTAAAAATTACAAACTCAATTAAAACTAGACAAAGTTTAAACGAACAGAAATCATTATAAACACGTACAATAAAGTGCTAGGAAATATTCTTCTAAGAGTCTCCTCTAATTGTACGTCGTCCCTTTCGGCTTCCCTTCTGTTTGAACTTCTTACTCTTGCCGATCGTCTCATACTATCGCAACTCCAAGCCCATTGCTGTAAAAAACAAAGAGCACTCCTACGTCTTTTTTTCACTTTCTGCACTTCTTCTTTCCCCTCGTTTTTCTCGTTAGATTTCTCATCTGCTTTCAATTGTATTTTCTCAATTTTCTTCAAATCTTTCTCGTATGGTTTCTCACTAGATTTATTGCTATCTTTATCGCTAACTTTGTCATTTTGCGTTTCATTTCCAGTGTTGTAGACGTCATCTAGGCCTTTCTCAGAATGTGATTTACCTTCATTCTCGTCCCTTTCGAACATGTTTGGCTCTTCAGAATCATTTTTCAACCGATTCTGTTCCAAAATTCCCTGTTCTATGTCCGAAATTCTCAATGGATCATCATCCTCTATTATCTGTACATCGCTGGAATCAGACTTCTTGTCGTCTTCCGTTTCAGCCTCCATTACAATATCGGTACCATTATCTGCGTTACTGTCGTCTAATGGTTCGAACGGAAAATTTATTTCATCAGTGTCCATTTTTATTAACTTTTCACTATCATCTTCATCCTTTACGGGAGCATTCTCGAGTAAATTTTGATCTGTACTCGCACAGTTGTCTCCATGGATGTCTTCTTCGGTATTTACTTTTACAAGCGCTTCTTCTGGATTAAGAACTGTTAGCTTAATTCTACTAACAAAACTTAAATCATTTTCCGTAATGTATCTATGCATATCCAGTAAACTTTCACCTAGTTCCAACCAGGTGCAGTTCTTTATGGACTTCCTTAGGTTTAATTCTGGTAATGGTTTTGGAGTAAATTCTATTTTACACGCTTCTGCCCATCTTTCAGCAATATCTTTTGCTTCTGCTAATAATTTATCACCCAATACGTGATCGTATTCGGTGTATAACGGTGGATCTAGTTGCCAATTGCTATTATATAATTTATAACATTCCTCGAGGCATGGAATGTTTTTGAATATTCTGTCACGGAAAGCTAGACCTTTCACATAATAAGGATCACGTTCTAACGCCATAGAAATGTACAAAAGACAGTTCATATAATCAGGAACAGCATATAAGGCAGTTATCATGCTATCTAAACATGGCCAATGATTAGCATTACATTTTAAGCCTTGTTTAAAGGACGAACAAGCTAATTCCAAATTAGATGTTTTTATAGCTAATGTACCCATTCTATACCATAATGTTACATCCGTATCGTCTAAATTTGCTGCTTCCCAATAATTTTCTATAGCTGTATCGTAGTTTCCCAATGCAGCTTGTATAGCAGCAATATTTTTGAAACAAGAATATTTCAATGACAACAGTGGCCTAGACCTTCCATCTGGTACCTCAGGTTTTTCTACCTCATCCAACAGTTCAGTTTCTAATAGATCTTTAAAAATATTTAGAGCATCTTCCTGTTTGCTTTCTTTTAAGAAGACTAAGGCTTTGTTATATTCAGTGAAAGCTATTTGTTCCTGCAACAGATGATTATATATTAATGGAATTACCTCAATTCCACTGGTACATATGTTACTATTAATGAATAATAAATCTGAACCACCCTAAACACAAAAAATATTCACAATAATATTTAACAAAATCATTCATATACCAAAGTAGTTCCACAAAAATTGAATGTTTATCATAAAACTCGATTTTTCATTATACAACACGGAAATGGTACAAAAATACTTTCTTTCTTTTCGTGTCATGCAATTGTTTACACGATTAAACTTAAATTATTCCATCTGTAGTGTAATGTATATCATCAGCTTCTTGGAGCGGATTACAACTTGGTAGGTTATGTTGCTTAAAAGTGAAGTAACCATTTTTACCACTTACTTGAGCTTCTTTCGTGATCGATGGTACATCTTCCTCTTCGCTTTCTTCGCTCGACTCCTCGTTCAACGCTGATATTTTTATCATCTTCAGAACTTTTTCGGAATCTGCACGTCTCTTTAAAGTATCAACAAATCAACCGGTTTTTTTCAACGCCGCCATGTTACTGACGATCCCACTCTACAACTCAACTCGAGAGCAAATAACAATCACCTCATTGTACCATCTAACGACAAGAGAATGGTACTGTTTGGCTAGCAACTTGGGAGTTTAGTCGTAGATAGTGCAACAAGTACTTTTCATCATACTACACGTAGCACAATAAAATTAATTAATTAAAAACACCACAAACTAATTCTACACACACTAAAACACACAACTAATGATTGTTAATGCGATATATCGATTCAATGATATTCCACACGTAATCCTCCTATATCTTTCGAAACACACATATACATTTTTCCTGTGTTTAAGAACACTCACTAACTTTCGCATTACGGATAAAAACTGTTTTTCGATCAATTAATAGAGGCCTAACCCCATTAAAATGTTACCGGTAAGGACGACACAGTCCTTAACATTCTCACAACCAGTCGGTTCCCCTACTACTGAGTTGTGCTGCGCGGTAATCGGGGATCGGCGCACGGGACGCTACGGTTGGCGCATGCGCACGGACCTTCTAGCTTCTGCGTCGCCCCACGCGCCGATCGTGATCGTTGCGCGGTAGGTATGGAGGGGGAAACATTCCCCTATGACTAGCAACCCGCCTGTTAGCTACCCCTGAATTACTAATTGTAAATATACATATATATAATTAGTATAAATATGTTTGTGTATACATACACATTGTTCTGTACATCCATATCAATGAATGACGTCTCTACGCTAACTTTTTTACTTTACACCATGTTCAATAAAGTATATTAAATCACATGATTATAATTATCACTCGAACGATTGCGTTATATTATACATAGACGGTACCTTTGATTCGGTACAAATAATTGATAGTTTCGTTATACTTAAAACTTCGAAATGCAAGTCAACTTCTTTTTTTTAATTAGTGTATCATCGAAAGCAATGGATCTATTTAATTCGTTTTCCTTAATCCAAAGGTGCGAATAAAACAAATACAATTTTTTTACAAATAGAGTTGGGATCAAAGTCCACTGAACATATACGTGGAAAACATATATGTACTTAAGACTTAAGACATCGAAATAAATGCGAAGTGTAAATGATCAAAGTAGAGTATATGTACAGTTCAACTTGACATGTAACAATGTTCATGATTTCGGGTAAGTGTCGATGAGATATTCACACTTGAAACAAATGTTTCTCATGCGTACATTAAAACAGCTCACAAAAATGTTCACTATCACTTAATCATAATCACACCTATAATTACTTTAATTATAACTTAATTATTATGAGAAATTCAATATATTTATATAAACGTCAAAACTCATTCAGTATAATTCAATGTATTCAATAGAGAAACATCAGAACAATTCATAGAAACATTGCAATCGATACCGAGGAAAGCGTTTTTATTATAAATAGTATCCAAATATTTTATTTTACGACAGATACACACAAAATATGGCGACAGATTACGAAAAAATGAGAATGAAAAGTAACAAGCACTGTTGAACAACAATAAGAGTAATGTGCAAGTGCTATTACAAATATTCAAATATTATAATAATTACTCAGACATATTTACTGCTAAAATCACCATAAAATAAAGTGAAAATTGTTTTATTAATAATTTCTCGTTACCTTGTACAACCTAACAACGTTTTATACGTGCAAGCCGAGATTCAGTGTCTTCTCGCTTGAAAATAATACTATAGATAATATAACTTTTCTTGTTACCGCACGTCTAAAGTTTCTATCGTATCAAGATTATGTAAAACCAAGCCTACATTCCTCGTTAAATTTGTATCAAAAGTTTTGAGCACGAATAATTCAAAGTGTAGACTAAATACGTGTACACTGAAGTATGTACATTGTAGGAGACTGGTTCACAAGTGGAGTGCAATCTGTAGACACGGAAAGCTTCCTTGATTCTGTAATTATAAGCAATACAAGTGTCTTAAGAAGAATTCGTGTACCTACCTACGAAATATATAAAGCTCATTGGTCTAACGGTGAGACATCTCTTGATGAAATATAAATTTAATATTAATTTCGACTTTTGTACTGTTCAATTTCCTTCGTAATAGCTTCGTTATCACAATAAGATATTATATTTATCTGTAGATCCAGAAATACAGAAAAATTATTGGGCTGCAAATTTTTTACTACCTATCGGAACAATATTTGTTCTTGTCCTGGTAATTCTCTTAATGGTAATATTTTGTTTAGAATTTCTCGTAAATTCACGATTAACAACATCAGATATAGTATTGCATAAATTTAATTTCGTGAAAAATTTCAGGTTCTATTCACAAGATGCCCGCAAATGGTCGCAGCTATTATCCTAACGATTCTTGTTGTAATTACTCTATTTGCAGCGTTCATAATAATCAATCAGACTCCAATTTATACTTAACAGTTCCTATTGTTACTGTCACACAATAAATAATAACATACGTTGCAGTCTATTCAGATCAGTGCAGATTGGTGTAAAATTAGCTGCACGATGGACGCACATGCGTGCTCGGGTGTGAACTTTTTTTTGTAACACGTGTACACACCTTTTGGAAATGAGAAAATAAAGTACTGTTCTGCGACGCGTGTATAACTTTCATATATGTATAATATTTACGAATACACGTGGTCTACTCACTGTTATCAGTTCTTGTTGTTTAATTTCTGTTGAATCATATCCTGCGATACGATCGTCACTTTCCGCTCATATACGTCTAATGCGTCTCGTAGTTTCTGATACGGCTGAAATAAATATTTTCTTACCAATGTGTTTTTCACTTTCTTTTTTCTTGTAACAGTACGAGTATTAAAAAGTTCATATGTTACCTCGGTGAAAATTGTATTCTCTTTGCTGGCATTTTCTAGTTCATACAACAGTACTTCCAATGTATTAAACGGCAACCAAACTGGTGGAGCCACAGAGGTTAAAAACGTTTCGAGACCGAAATGTTCTTTACCATCCCCCAAGACTGCATTAATATATTCCACAGCTAAATCACTGGCTTCCGCTATTCTACCACTGTTCAGAATGAGACGAAGCATTTCTGCAGCGTTTCGTTTCTGCGACACACAAGAAATGTCATTCTGTATTATGACAATGATTATTGGTTTGTGAACCACTTACCTTGTACGAAGCCAATAACCATTGTGGTATAAATGCGCCTTCTTGAAGTATTTTTCTGGAAACTGCTTTATGCAACTCACTGCATCTGTTTGTTTCGTGCTTTAATGTTAGATATTCTAATAATCTCCAGGCAGTGTTTGTAATATTTGTATTAGAGAGACCGATGTCGAATATGTCATTTTGGATGAGCCAATCCCAGGCATTCGGATCTTCTCCTCGACTTAACCGAATACACTGTGAGGTTAGACTTTCGAATACAGAATCTTTATTAATTTTGAATTCATCGCACAAATGCAACGCTGTCGTGTATAAACCGATAGTCGATAAAATAATGATAAGTTCCGAGGGACCAGCATGCGCGATCACGTGCAATTCCGAATTAATTTTTGATATTTTCAATCTGGCGTCCACCACATAATATTCTTTCTTGATGTCATCCAATTCAAGAACTTCAACTTGCTTTCTTAATTTATAAGGAGAAACTTCTTCGTTGCCCCTACTTCCTCTTGTCTGTAAATTCTGATGAATCAGATCCTCTGGAAAGTTCTGATCGATCACAGGTCTAACAATCCATCTGTACTTATCGGACACAAGGTGTAACGCGTTAATACATGCTAATAAACATTGAGCTTGCCTCGATACAATCAGAACAGACTGCGATTCTTGACTCAAACGCATAGCTTGCTCATACATCACAGAAGCAGCTGAAAGAAGTAAATGAGTAAACTATCAGTACATTGACAATTTTCAATTGCTGATGTAATGTGAACGATTAAACGGATACCTTTACGCATATTTCCTTTGTTTATGTGAAAACTATACAAAAAATTATAGTAATTATTCTCCATCAGATCCACGCTTCTTGCTCTACCTTCTACTATTCTTTCTAGATCTTCGTACATGTCCACATAAGGGAAAGAAATTAAATCTATCAGTTTTTTCCTCTCGAACAGAGTCACAACTAACTGTCTCAGACAGTCCACTTTGCGCGCAGCATCTGGATTTGAGTTTAAACAGTTGTACGCTTTTTTGTGATGACCCAAACTCAAATGCTGAGTGAACACTATGGAATGAAGCGTTGGCAAATTAGGATCGTCTCTGTCAGCCATTAGTATAGCTGTCTCAGCGAGCTCGACGACGCAATCAGCAGCATTATGTTCTTCGAAAAGTTTAATAACTTTCAAGTAATACTGAATCAACGAATTGTTTTCGGATAATACACTGGACTCGAGTAAAGCATCAGCCAGGAATTCGTCGGTTAAAATTCCCCCAGAGGCTCGGAGAAAGTGATCGCAAGCTTTTTGTGCTTCTCCCATTTCCAGTAACGCGACAGCTAATATAAATTTCCTCGACGCGCTATTCCACTCGCACCATGTGTTCAAAAGTCTAACATACTCCTGTACGAGTAAAAATTGACAACTGGATAACAGCCACTCTGGGAAAATAAAATTTCCTGACCTTGGCCATCTGTAGAAATTCTGTTAAGGAAAGGATTGAACGTCGTTGCAAAACCTATATGGGCAGATTAATATCCTTGATATACACAGAAGGATACATAAGTTGTGCGATGAGTGTGACATGGGTCAGCATCCCGTAATGCCATGGTATTAAGGTAGATGCATCCATGTTTGTATGAGCTATTAACGTATGAGCATGTTTTCCACCACTACTCTGTATGAATAATTCAAGCAACGATAAAGGCCGATGCTGTCTGAAACTCAGGTTTGACCTTGAATCGACGAGTTTCAGCAACGCTAAACGTTGAATGCTGGAACCTCTGAAAATATATTTTAGCAAAATCAAAATATATCAAGCGTACTAAAGGAGATATTTAAATTTCACTCACAGTAGTGACTGCGTAGGCGTTGGTAATGCAGTGGTTTCGCATATCCATGTAACAACATAATAAGCCTGTGTCAACACCACTGTTCTGGGGGCTAACGACGATTTTATGCAGTGCAACGATCGTGAATCAAACAACTCTGGTCGCGATAGTATCATCTGTTGCAAAATCAACAGATTCCGGCAGATGGAAAACCTTAAGTGCGTTATTTGTGCCACGCTTATCGATATTGCCGAGATTCCTAACTGACTACCAAACAAGTGATTTATGTTGAGCAACATTTTCGAAGCGTCGTGATCCTCGTTGAATGGTAATTTGTGCGGCTGGCCAACTTCATACGTCAGTGCTTCTAATAACATTGCCATAGCACTGGACAGATCTCTAATATTCGATAATCTATGGCAACTAGGATGACTCGTAATGATATTACTAATAGGTTCTTCAGATTCAAGCATGAACTTCGACAACAAATCGTCGATAATGGTATCCGGATTTTTTAAATGAAATAATTCTTTTTTTATCATATTTTTGATTTCGTCGGACAATTGCTCCTCCAGTAACACTACCACAGACATTAATATAATGAGATCTTGACATATATCTTCGTCTTGTGATAACACAGGCGTGGTCCTGAATCGAGGCACACACGACTTTTCGTTGCAGAACATTAAATATTCCAAAGCTTCCATTGGTCGTAATAGTGAAAATGACGATTTTTTAAGTAGAACTATTCCGTAAACGCTCGGTAGTAATAACAATCCCACGGGTCTAGTGCTGTTGGCGTGGTATTGTATAACACAGGAGTAAAATCTCGACCAACAACGATTCGCAATCTCTAAATAATCCTCGTCCATAAGTTCGTAATCCATCACTTCGACTTGTATCTCGTCTTCGACCGCGATACAGACACGATCCTTTAATTCTGCAGCGGAGAGAGCGCCATCCTCCGTGTATCTACCGTGGGTAGCTCTCTTGGATCTTCCATATGACTGAATATTCTTTTTAGATCTACTGTAAATATTCAATGCTTTCGTGATGTCAACCAAAGAGAACTGTCCAGGATGGAAAATGTAATTAAGATATGCCCGTCTTGGATTGGTATCGGGATCGTTCAGAATATATTCTCTGTCCGGTGTTTGCTCCAAGACCGTTGTTTCCCACTCGGAATTAACGCGTGCACCATTCAGGGATAATTGTGCGTGCGTTACTTCGACGGTGTCCATGTCAGTGGTCCTCCATACCGCCCATAATCGTGTAGTTGTGAACGAAAAGTCAACTAAATGTTGCTGAAAGAACATCAGAATGAAACTTATGAAAAGTGACAGAACGAATTATCCAACGCCTTATATTAAATGGAAATTTTACTTACATCTTGTGCAAATCTTGTACACAGCCTCACGAATTTAAATACACCATTATCTTGTACAGGTTTCAAAATGCTAAATTCGCATCTGGTGCTAAATTTTAAAAATGTCCCTAAATACAATTCATTATCAGGCCCCAATGTTTTTCTCAACAGATGGCCCTGCGCTCCTTGAGATGCTATTCGATTATCAATTGTCGCGTCTGTTACGGCCACGCATTGAGCTTTATTGCAGGACCACATTCGAATATTCCCTTCGCGGCACAAAGCGAACAAATACGTATCATTTCCGCAACTATGTATTACCAAGGACATAGCCACGTAAGCTTCAGAACTTCTACCCCTGAAAGCTGTTGCTATACCACTGAGAAACCTTGGAACTATCGAATCCTCCTTCAATTCACTGGTATGCACTGCACCAGTTACTACGTCTAGCCTTAAGAGGAGTATAGTTCCAGAATTGTAAGCAAGAGCAAACAATGCTTCACGAGGTGGTACAACCCAAGAAGCGGCTGCATGAGGCACTGGAGAATCTACAAATACCCATAAATAGGTATGACTAAGATAAATAATATATTTCACATCTTATTTACTTACTCGTAATTCCTGCATTTGCAATGACATGAAACATATGAGGATTCTCTTTCGTAATCTTCACATTTTGAAATGTTTCACTGAATATTGATTGTACACCTAGATCCTTGTATGTACTTAGCTCCTATGAAATAAGCATTCATTAATACGTAACTGTGTAATGCATATACTTTCAATCAAGCTCATAAAGTTACTTACATTCTTATAGATCCTCTCAGGATGAGGAAACGATAGTTTGTGTATACTAGAAACAGTTACTATCAATATGATAACTGAGTTATCTGTTTCGTGTATTGAAACGCCATCCAAAATTGGTGTATCTGTGAACTTGTATCTTACTCTACAATTGGACAAATTAATGTCTAAACTATGTTCTACCAGCTCAAGCACATCATGGGATATACGCCAATAAATAAATCGATTTCTAGTGTAATACTTTGAACAATCTTTATACGAATAACCGCCGGCTCTTTCTGGCACTTTAATATCTTGTAATGTACTTTGACTTCCTCCTGTAACATAGTGTAGTACATTGTTACATGAACCAAAGTGCTACGAGGATGCAAAGAAGGTAGGATTAAAAGCATTCTGTTATCAAACGTTAACAATTTATTCGTTTAAAAATCTACATTCTGGAAAACAAAGAATACTCTCACTTTTTATGTAACTTTACATGTTTTCTACGGATTTCTATTTATCCGGCTACTTTGAGAAGGTTAGGATCACTCACCTGGGTTCAATTTAATTTCATTCCATTTCTCCGGTACTGTTTGATCAGGCACGACTTCTCGGTAACCGAGTGGAAATTCTTCCATATTCCAATTTGTTTTTAAAGCCAACACTGTGCCAATTTAACTTTCAAATCCCATTACAATGCCGCTTGAAATTTCAACATGCATCTAACGTTCATACGTTTCATGTCACGCACGCTGGCATCATGCGGCACGTTTTGGCGCCTTTAACCGTTTTTATTGCATGTGACCTCCTCGAGTCGTTACTTAGGTTAGGATTCAGGCGTGAGATAATTTAGTTCGAAATAAATATTTTTTGCTACCGATTCATATTCAATAATTTGAAAATTAAAATGTACACACACCGATTGCCTTGCAGACCGTAATCTAAAGTATTATAAATTCTTTACAGTACAAAACAGTGAAGAACACCATGAATAAAAATGTTGTCACGGCATTCTATTTAGTATTAAATACATTTTTCTCGATTGTAATTGTACTATTAAATAAATGGTTGTACATCCATATAAGCTTTCCAATAATAACGTTGTCCATGATACATTTTCTCATCACCTTCGTGGGATTAATAATTTGCGAGAGGTTTGATATTTTTTGCATAAAGGATGTAGCTCTGAAGGAAATGTTATGGATCGCATTTACTTTTTGCGGATTTGTTGTACTCACGAATTTGAGTTTGGCATATAATACAGTTGGAACTTATCAAGTAGCTAAAATGTTGACCACACCTTGTGTCATAATACTGCAAATAATGTTTTATAAAAAACACTATAGTGTATTGGTTAAATTGACATTAATTCCTATTATATTAGGTGTAACGATTTTTTTCTATCATGACATTCAATTTAATGTTATTGGAATAATATATGCAACTATGGGAGTGTTTGTGACATCTTTATACCAAGTGGTAGGACATTTTTCTTGGCCTTTTAAAATGTTACAGATGATTGTGTCAAAATAAACTTTTGTTAGGAGTTTGTTGTAGAATAATAATCAATATGTTCTTCATATATTAATTGCACATGTAAACTTATAGATGCTGAATACAAAGCAAAAGGAATTTCAAATGGATCCAATGCAATTATTGTACTATCAGGCACCTCTGTCTGCTATTGTATTATTAATTATTGTGCCAGTTTTAGAGCCTGTCCAACAAACTTTTGCACGAAGTTGGTCATTAATTGACTTGGTATGCTAATTTGTAGTAATGTAGATTAATATCCAGGAAGAAAATTACACAAATTATATTTGTAGGTCATGGTTGTGCTATCAGGCATAGTAGCATTTTTTGTCAATTTAACTTCGTACTGGATAATAGGAAAAACTTCACCACTGACGTATCCTTTTAAAATATTTCATAACAGACATGATTTCTGAATACTTGGTCCTTCCTTAATCATCAATTAGTTACAACATGGTTGGACACACTAAGTTTTGTTTGTTACTTTTAGGTGGATCATTAATCTTTCACGAAACATTAGCCATAAATCATGTAATTGGTATAACACTGACATTGATCGGAATTATTTTATACGCGCACGTTAAAGTTAGTACATATAACCGATAACAAAATTTTTAATTGATTGAACTGATAAATAATTTTTATAGAGGAAATATAAAAATCGTTCCACTCAGTATAATTTTTGTTTTAGATGAAAGATGTTCAAATTGTGACAGCAGACTACGAAACGAAAGAAAGAAAACTATTGCATAAAATATAATTTTATACTTATATTTATACCGTACAAAAAAAAAAAAAGAAAACAACAACTAATGTCATTGTATTACGTATGTTTTCCTTGTCATGTGATATGTTAACGTTTCGTTGATATTAAAAGATTAATGCAAATAAAAGTGATAATTTTGAAAAGCAAAAGGTGGGTCAAAGCGTACACCTAGGGCTTCTTGAAGTTTCTTGAAGTTTCTTGAAAATATACGGGGACGTGTATAAACATTTTCCCAGGTGCATCGGACCCATCAGTAACCCTTTTGAAACACCCTTATATACAAACTCATTGACCATTCGAGTACTTTCGAGAAAGTATAAACGTATGAGACATCTGTCGTCACTGGTTTAAATTTTAAACAGATCCATGGCGCTATCTATGGAAGAATGCTCAAGCTACTAGCAAAATAGTACCATAAGATGGCTGCTAGATCGAACCACGTTATCCTGTAGCGCCTATTTCATTTAAGAAACTACATATTAATTAAAAATACAACTACTTTATATATGCAGAATACCCAATTCAAGGAAATGTAGCAATTTGACATTGATATCACAGCCGAAATCTGATATACCAATTGAACACATTCGTTCTACGTTAATATTCAATGAACGTCGTTCCTATGACTACCAGGTAGCTAAGGTGGGGATTGAATTTGTATCAATCAAACATTTGTACACACAATTATGCACAACGTGTTCTTGGTTTGCAGCAAATAATACGTTCTATTACCGTTGGAGAGAATGAAGATCGAAGAAGTGAAAAGCACTGCCAAGACTCAGAGAATCTCAGCTCATACACACATTAAAGGTTTGGGGCTTGATGAAAATGGTATAGCAATACAAAATGCAGCCGGCCTTGTTGGTCAGGAAATGGCTCGCGAGGTTAGATTATTTCGCATGTTTGTAATAAATCTAGAAAAAAGAACGAAAACTCAAATAATAATGTGGAACGTTTTAGGCTGCCGGGATAGTAGTTGACATGATAAGATCTAAGAAGATGGCTGGTCGAGCCGTATTATTAGCTGGTCCACCAGGTACAGGAAAAACTGCAATCGCGCTTGCTATCGCACAAGAATTGGGTAACAAAGTACCGTTTTGCCCAATGGTGGGCTCGGAAGTTTATAGTTCTGAAATAAAGAAAACAGAAGTGCTCATGGAGAACTTCAGACGAGCTATTGGTCTTAGAATTAAAGAAACCAAAGAGGTGTACGAAGGTGAAGTTACGGAGTTAACTCCAGTTGAAACGGAGAATCCAATGGGTGGATACGGAAAGACTGTGTCCTATGTGGTTATTGGATTGAAAACTGCTAAAGGTACAAAACAATTGAAACTGGATCCTTCCATATACGAGTCTTTGCAGAAAGAGAAGGTAGAGACGGGAGATGTAATTTACATAGAAGCAAACAGCGGTGCTGTGAAAAGACAGGGTAGAAGCGATAATTTCGCTACAGAATTTGATCTGGAAGCGGAAGAGTATGTTCCATTACCAAAAGGTGATGTACATAAGAAAAAGGAAGTTATACAAGATGTAACACTACACGATTTAGATGTTGCTAATGCCAAACCACAAGGTGGTCAGGATATCATGTCCATGATGGGGCAGTTGATGAAACCTAAAAAAACAGAAATCACAGGTAAGAACAATTGAATCAACATTTACAAAAATTTTATACACCTATCTAATTGAGGTATTTTATCGAATTATTTGCTACAGATAAATTGCGCAAGGAGATAAACAAAGTGGTAAACAAGTACATTGATCAAGGAATTGCAGAACTGGTACCAGGAGTTTTGTTTATAGATGAAGTACATATGTTAGATATAGAAACATTCACATATCTTCACCGTGCTCTGGAAAGTGCTATAGCTCCAATAGTTATTTTTGCTACAAATAGAGGACGTTGTGTAATCAGAGGCACAGAAGACATTGTATCTCCACATGGAATACCTCTTGATCTATTGGACAGATTGCTCATCATACGAACACTTCCATACTCTAGAGCAGAAATAGAACAAATAGTTAAGTTAAGGGCTATAACGGAGGGACTACAAATCGAAGACGAAGCCTTGAATACCCTTGGCGAACTAGGTACAAAAACAACCCTTAGATACGTTGTGCAATTGTTAACTCCTGCATCATTAACGGCGAAAATAAATGAGAGAACAGTTATCAAGAAAGAGGATATCGAGGAAGTAGGATCTCTTTTCTTAGATGCAAAGTCGTCGGCTAAAATTCTTACACAAAATAAAGATAAATATATGAAATAAATGAATTCGTTTGTCATTTAACAAATCACTTTTTCATATTTCTATGAGAAGATTTAAGATTCGTGTAAAATGGCATTACAATATAAATGTATATACCTGTAACTTAATTAAAATCTCACGAATAAAGTTATAACTGCATGAACTCCAAATGCTATTCTTAAATTTTGTTCTGTAATATCTCTATTTTCGTTTAGATTATATACGGCAAAGTTAAGTTATGGATACTATAACATGTTTTGCAAGAGACTAGACTGTATTATGAAAACATGCTATTCGAAGTATTTTTTTCAACTAATATTCAAACAGCTTCTGGTGTATTACACTGATACACATGCGAAGGTAGTTTCCCAATATTGTTTAAGATACTTTATAAGAGAGGGGTTACAAAAGTTCAAACTGTAATCAAGAGTTGTGACATCATTAGATGATAGGTCTTGCGGTATAAAATCTCCCTCTACTTCAACGTGCTACTTAGTTTTCATAAATCTAAGTAATTACAGTGTTCGGTACTCATATCGTGTATATCGTTCTGCACTTACGAAAACAAAATGTTACACTTTTTGGAAATTGCAAAGTGTTCAAGATTATTGGGTAAACATAGAGCGATACGATACGCGCGTGTATTGGCGTTAAGTAGTCTAAGAACGGAAAGTACTGATAAACTTTGTGCAAAAAAGGATGAATTTCAACACAGGCACATTGGTCCGAGAGAAGAAGAACAGATAGACATGCTGCAGAGCATTGGTTTTAAGGTAATGGAGCATGTATTTGTTCAAGAACAGAAAACGCATTGTGAACTAAATCTTTTTTCGATAACTTCGATCTTCTCAACTTTACAGAGTTTGGAGGAATTAACAAAAGCAGCAGTTCCTGCAAAGATTCTTTACAATGGGGAATTAAGGATTGAACAATCACTTAGTAAGTAACTGACGAAACGTTTGTTTGAATAAACAAATTTGTAATTGTTTGAAGCGATAGGAGAGACAGAATTACGTTAAAGAACGTGCGAAGTCACGAGACTTTTGATAAGAAACACGTGAGAAGTGATAAGTGCGATAACCCTTTAGTATTGAAACAGACCTATTATGAAAGACATAACTTGGACATATTATAAGAACTATTTTTTGCGTTGTACAGTTGTACAAATTACTTATTTAAAAAATTTAATTTCTCTATTCCACAAAGATTAAAGTTTTCCATCGTATAGAATGAATAAGACTACGTCCTTTTATTCGTAGAGTGTATCTTGGGTCAGAGGTCATTCTCGTGCATTGAATTTCGCATTCACGTGATTTTCTAGAGCAGAACCTGATTGCATACAACTGTTTCTTATGCTACATATACCAGTGTTCTGATTACACGGTATGTTTTACATAAAATAAATGTGTATTTCAGCCGAATATGAATTATTAAAAAGAATCACAAAAATTTCTGAAAAGAACGACGTGTGGCGTTCCTACATTGGAATGGGATATCACAATTGTTGCGTTCCTCACACCATCATGAGAAACATGTTCGAGAATCCAGGATGGTAAGGCAATTCTGAAAAGGATGTAGCAAAAATTGAAACAAAATTAAAGCATCTAATTTCCTGTTTCAATTAGGACGACGCAGTACACACCGTATCAACCAGAGATCTCTCAGGGTAGACTCGAAGGTCTACTAAATTACCAAACGATGATATGCGATTTAACCGGCATGGAAGTGGCGAACGCATCGCTTCTGGACGAAAGCACAGCAGCGGCGGAAGCTTTGGCTCTAGCTCATAGGAGCAACAAGAGGAAGAAACTGTTCGTTTCTGATCAAGTTCATCCCCAAACGATTAGCGTGATCGCCACACGTGCTACTTCCCTGGGTCTCGTTTTAGAAATCGGGGACGTTTTTCAAGTCGATACCAGTGGGAAGGATATCGCTGGAATCCTGTTTCAATATCCGAATACAACTGGATCGATTCATGCGTTCGACGATGTCGCGGAAAGGGCACGAGCCGATGGCGTACGTATACCAAAAGGTTCGACTGGATTGCCAACAAACGTTACGAGCGATCTTAATGTACCCTATAAACAATTTGCGCGCAGATCTGGGTTAGGTGACACATGACCGAATATCATCATATCTTAGAAGAAAAATGTGTCAATTTGACACAAGGGATGGATGAGGGTTAAAATACCTGTTGTAGAACAGGTTATGTTGCAGGATCTCTAGCCGTTCTGGTTACGAAAGCTTACACATGCTTGTGCAGATCTTGGCTGACTGGGTAACACCGGTACGTTTAATTACAGACACTTGTCTGCGCTGCTACCGACTTGCTGGCACTGGCCATTCTTCGACCTCCGAGCGAATTTGGAGTTGACATATGCATCGGTACGAGTCAACGGTTCGGCGTGCCGTTGGGATACGGAGGACCTCATGCTGGATTCTTCGCGTGTCGACAGAAGCTGGTCCGTTTGATGCCTGGAAGGATGATCGGCGTTACGAAAGACTCTACCGGCCGAGACGCGTATCGTTTAGCCCTTCAGACGCGTGAACAGCACATCCGAAGAGACAAAGCTACCAGCAACATTTGCACAGCACAGGCGTTGCTGGCGAACATGTCTGCAATGTATGCGGTGTACCACGGGCCCGAAGGTATAAAGAATATAGCGAACAGAGTGCACAATTTGACTCTGATTCTCGCCAAGGGTTTGGAGAACGCAGGCAATAAAGTGGAGAACGAATACTTCTTCGACACCATCAAAATATCGCCGAAACTGGACATAGACACTATTAAACGTAATGCTACTACGCGTAAGATGAATTTCAGGTAATCAATACAGACTCCAAGTCTGAAAGCTTTCAGAATAATTCAAAGCACTGACGTCAATACTTTTTTTACCAGGTACTACGAAGATGGAATTGGGATATCGTTGGACGAAACCACAACCGTGCAAGACGTGAACGATATCTACGAAATATTCTGCGCGAAAACAACGGTCGAAGATATCTGTGGGGACGAGTCCTGTACCAGCAGAGACTTGAGTAAATCGTCTTTCGTTCGCATCACACCGTACCTGCAGCATCCTGTGTTCAATAGTCATCGTTCTGAAACAAGAATCGTTCGATACATGAAATCTCTGGAGAATAAAGATGTGTCTCTGGTGCACAGCATGATACCACTAGTAAATTATATTTGTGATTTGTATGTACTAACTGGGATCGTGTTGTCAAGGGTTGTAATTACATTTGTGATTCTGTTGGCAGGGATCCTGTACGATGAAACTGAACTCCACCACGGAAATGATGCCTTGCAGTCTACCAGGATTCACGGACATCCATCCTTTCGTGCCTATCGAGCAAGCCAAAGGATACCAACAGTTGTTCACCGAACTGGAGGAGGATCTATGCGCTATAACTGGTTACGACAATATAAGTTTTCAACCGAACAGCGGTGCCCAGGGCGAATACGCCGGTTTAAGAGCGATACAATGTTACCACGAGGCTGAAGGCGACCAGAAACGACGTGTCTGTCTGATTCCTATCTCTGCTCACGGCACCAATCCCGCGTCTGCTCAGATGGCCGGTATGCAGGTTAAGCCAATTCTGGTGCAAAAAGACGGATCTGTGGACATCACACATTTAACAGAAATGATCGACAAATATCGGGAGACATTGTCCTGTTTGATGATAACGTACCCGTCAACCAACGGTGTCTTCGAGGAGACAATCAGTGACATTTGTTCCATGGTCCACGAAGTTGGAGGTCAGGTGTACCTGGACGGAGCTAACATGAACGCCCAGGTAGGACTGTGTCGACCAGGCGATTACGGTAGCGACGTGTCCCATCTAAATCTGCACAAAACTTTCTGTATACCTCATGGGGGTGGCGGTCCTGGAATGGGACCCATTGGAGTGTGAGTACTGTTGGTTGTTTCACGGATAAACCAGATATAGGGACCAGGAAAAAATTATGTATTTCTTTTACAGTAAACGACATCTGTCGCCATTCCTGCCGAGTCATCCTGTAGTCAATTGCACGAGCAACACTGGTAACAATGTGCAACAATCTGGCGCTGTATCAGCTGCCCCATTCGGTTCGTCGGCGATTCTGCCGATTTCATGGGCGTATATCAAGATGATGGGTCCCGGAGGATTGCGAAAAGCCACGCAAGTGGCTATCCTCAATGCTAATTATATGAGCAAACGATTAGAGAAATTTTACAGAACGTTGTACAAAGGAAAGACGGGACTGGTGGCTCATGAATTTATCCTGGACGTAAGGGACTTCAAGAAAACGACGAACATCGAAGCTGTGGACATCGCGAAGAGACTGATGGATTATGGTTTTCATGCTCCTACGATGAGTTGGCCTGTTGCTGGCACGTTGATGATAGAACCGACCGAATCCGAGGACAAAGGCGAATTGGACCGGTTCTGCGATGCTCTTATTTGTAAGCCTTATTGGGTTCTTCGATGGGAATCATTTTTCCAGTTGTTGATTGAATAGTGTTCAGAACAAGTGTCCTGTTTTTCAGCTATAAGGCACGAGATTAATGATATTGAGACTGGAAAAGTAGACATAGCCAATAATCCATTGAAAATGGCACCACACACTCAGGAACAAGTGATATCGAGCACGTGGGATCGATCCTACTCACGGGAATTAGCAGCGTTTCCGGCTGTAAGTGTTTTTGGATACGTGAAACTGGCAACAAATAATAAATTATATGTATTTACATTTCAGCCGTTTGTCAAGGGAAACAATAAAATCTGGCCAAGTGTAGGACGAATTGACGATATATACGGCGATACAAATCTATTCTGCACTTGTCCTCCTATTTTGCAACAATCATAAATGATATTCCGTTGTTATTTATCCTGTACAGTTAGTAGTAATGGAACTATTTAAATATTTATTATAATTTTTGTACAAACATACTGCTTATGTAAAATGTTACATATTTTTATAAGTAAATCAAGTTGCAAGAAACAAATATATCCAACTTGTTATCTATATAGCGAACAAAAGGCGTACCGTATCTAAATTTTGTTTTTCAATCGACATATGGTGGCAGTGAACTTAATGGCTACGTCAACGTATTATCAATAGTTATACAATGTATTTATAGTGTATATTACAAGTGTTTACCTTCTAGACAATTTGATACATATATTACAAACCAGGCATGAGATATGCGATATTATCGAGCATTTGTGAAAGTGTTTCGTGTTTAGCTCCGTTAGTTTCCGGTACCTGTTGCGTTAAACAGATTAAGGGGCCCAATGCACAGAGAAGAGAGTCCAATAAAACCGACAGACTGCCAGAGACCGCAATTTGCCCGTCGTGTTCCTTTAAACGTTCCCCAATAATCGTCAAGCTCTCGCCGAGAAGTTTCAAATGAGCGGCCACATCGATCGGTTGCGTTCCTACTACTTTATACATTCCCGTACCTATCAGTGGTTCATTGACCAAATCTTTTCCGGATCGATTCGACGGTGGCGACACCGGAACGTTCCCTATAACCGACGGCAGACCTAGTTGAATGGTCTTTCTCGAGGTAGACTTGTGCTCTTTTCCGTTACCTGCAATAAAATCAAGAGAAACAAAAATAAAGGTAAAAATACTCTATCGTGGTACAGAGTTTTTTCTGATTCGCCTACCTCTAAACGAGATACATGCATACAAAACAAATAATAATGAAACATCTACCACATAAGTTGTAGGCATGAAAAAAAAAAAAACACTATATAGTCCGATGAAAAAGTTTCACTAATACGCGTGCACGAGAAGCAAATTAGAACGAACAAACTACCGCATAACTTTTAATGGCATACTTGTAAAAAAAAAACATGATGTATACATGAAAACCAACAAACCCACCACTTTTATTAATGAATTTTTTTCGCGAAGCGGGCGCCGGCATTTTCCATACAGGCTCATCTTTACTTGGGGGTAAAACATGAGGCTTTGCCGCCAAACGTTTCGCGCGTCTGCGCCAGTTATACTTTTCCAGATTCGGCACTGTAGCCCACAGTTCTCCTAACCGTTTCGAAATTGCCGCAAAATCTACAAAATGCAATGTTTCACGTGTAACATTAGCCTTATTTGCTAATTCACGTTAACTACAGTATAGAGAAAAGAAATGAAGCTTATATACCCATGTAAGGACATTGCTCTAGTAATTCTTGCCTAATTTCTTTAGCCCACAACATGTAAGCAGTAAATCTTGTTTTCTGAAAATATCATTCAATTGTAAGATAACTTTTCCTTTAGTAACTTTCATTTGTACATACCCCTTTGTCTTTTCGTTGTGCCTTCATTCTACCTATTATTTTGCCATCTTTAATGATTAGCTTTTTCTTACATTTCTCAAGCATATACAAACTATTCGCTTGCGAAGTTGTTTCTTGGCCAGGTGGCTCCAGTTTTCTAAAACCTGCCTCTCTATCGTCTATCATAAGAGGATCTACTTCGTCCTCGCTTCCAGAGTCCATGCTGTATCTTTCGTCTTCATTCAGCCCGGAGGGATCATCGGATTCAGTTCCAGACGATTGCATTTCGTTATCCGACAATGGCTCAGCCTTGACTCTTTGTGGACCGGAATTTGAATTAGAATTAGAATGTTTCCTCTGCCTTCCACCACTTCCATGTTGTATCGATTGATTGGGCGACATATGCTCGGCCTCATATCTATCCAACAATTGTTGATTTTGTAATTGTTGAGCTTTTTGACGTTTGTACTTGTTATCCGCAAAATCATCTGGTGACTCAAAGTCAACGAGTTTGGAAGATTTCTTTCTCACACGGCCACTGCGGGAGATACCAGTGACCTCTAGATCTGAAATATAAAGCCGACTGCACCTTGCCAAGAAAATGATAGGGACCAATATACTTTGTAAAAAACACCTAACTAACTACCACTCTCACACGGATCGAGAACGCACGACTTTTACATCTACTCATACTGTACACCAAATACGTATGGGTACGCAAACATAGTTTGCTGCACATTCATTTCCTCCTGATACTCCCTAACAGGCTTCGCTGTTCTTTTAACACATTTGAGACCAATGACCCGAGGACTCAGTATGTGGGTCATGTACAGACTTTCCTTGAACATTGATGGCTGCTGGAGATAGTCTTGTAATAACACGTCGGTCTCGAATGTGTTAGCCGACCATAATAATCAATGACTGAATCTCGTGGACACGTATTATGTGATACAAAAAGTTTATTTGTAAGTGTAATCAAATGATTCCCTGTATGCTTCGGAGACATGATGAACATACAGAAACGCAGAATGAAGACAACGAGAACTGGGACCAATTTCAAAGTGATTGGTTTGAATTGCTGTTCATTTAATACAGTCGTCATCTTGTGATAGGAATGTGTTTTATAAATTTCAATAAATAGCATAGAAAAAATAGACCTAACCACAAATGAATTGTACTCATCGTTAGTTCGACGGTTCTCCGCTACGAGGAAAAGCGCTATAAACCAAAAGTTGAGCAGCTTAGAGTAAAATATCGCCAAGGAAATCGACAAATTAGCTACGTACGCGCTCAAATCATGCGATATATTGCAAGCGGACACGAGCAGTACAAGCAACTGATCTACCAAACGTCTTTCCCGATGAAATAAATGCTGATCTCACCGTCACTTTTCTGACGTTTCGGCGTCACGATCATATCCATAGCGTTGCTTTGTGGTTCAGGGATGAGCTTCTTGCGCCGCGGCGTCTTATCGGATTTCGCGGGCTTATGAATATTGGTTTGCATCTCGGAACAAGAACTTTCTCTCCTTTTTCCGGAGCGAGTGCATCTGATTTCAAATGTTTCCCACTTTTTTTCCACGAAGAAATTCTCGTTCCTCGTCTAAGCAACTGCGTTTTAATTCTATGACGTTTTTAAAAACAACTTCCACGAAGAAAACCAGAATGCACTGCTGTGTATTCCTGCGTAGCGCGCATTTGCGCATGTAGCGCGGGAACATTTAAAATTGTTTCTTTCTAACGTGACGTGTCCCATCGTTTCTGGATAGAATGGATGAATAATTCTATCATATTTATCTTTAATTCATTGATACAATTACTAACGAATAATATGGTTTAGGGATGACGATAAATGTGAAGAGGTCGCAGTGTTTGATTGGAAAGATATACTTTCAATATTAAAAAATTTATTTAAATTAATGTGAACCATCCAAAGTGTCTATACATCATCTTCCTGCTGCCATCCATCTTCATTAGATAAAAATCTTCTCTTGTGACTAGTGTTCATGTAAGGTCTTAAAGCCCATTCTGTGTCTGCAGCTGATTCTGCATCTAATGTACCTAGTTTAATTTCGTACAATTTCAACTGAAATCGTGGTCCCACTTCTGTTAACTCAATATCTTTTCCATTAACTTTCTTATAAGTGTGATGTCGAAAAGAAATATAATCATCATGATTTGCAAACGTGATTACTCTTTTGCTATCCTCCTTTGGTACAGGAAATAAGTATTTCAAAATGCTTGTGACTCTTTCTCCCAACTTTGTTTTGAAATTGTGGAATATAAGATGAGGATATTGTTCTGACATTGTTCCAATGTCTGGTATATCGTGTCTCATGACAACATCAGACATTGTAAAATACGAAGTAGGTCCATACGGTAAGTGACAAATAACAATTGAGTCAGGTACACCTCTATGCTCATGTACAATTATGAAGTCTGTAACATCGTTTGCCCGACATGCATGTATAAGCTGTTTCATTTCATAATTTCCTCTATTCATCCTCTGAGAATTGGGAAATATTAACCGCAACTCCTTAACAAACATCTTCAATCTGGAACTGGGATCCCTAGAGGTGGTAATTACAATTTTTGGATTCTCTACTCCTGCCCATCTGTATTCATCGTCTTCATGAGAGCCTAGTGTTCCACCCGCCTCTGTCCCTATGGCTACAGCCATCTGTGGACCAGCGTCTTCCCATTCTAATTTCTTCTGTACGTGTAACGCTTCCTTTCTCAGATCCGGATGTATCGGTATATTTTCTTCTAAACTACGTTTCAATTTCTCTTTTTTGTCTTGAATGTTTTTCAATTTATCCTGAACCGATTTTCTGTAGAGATACTCTCTGCGAAGTCTCGCTTGTCTACGTAACATTTTTCTATTTTATCGTATAAGTCAAGAACAGATTATGACAGAACAGTGTACAGGTTATATCAATCACGTGTGTGCAACAGATCGCGTATTTTATTTATAACAGAAACTTGTAGCGACATCTACGGTGAAACGCTCAAGCTACTAGCCAATTAATACCATATTCTTATCGCTAGATGGCGCCAAAGTTTCCATTTCATGTTTCTTCGTTACAAAATTAAATAGTAATTAAAAAAAAGTGTCAAGCAACAATAGTTATTGAATAATATGGATATTACACTTTTAGTACCACTTAGCCTAATTCTTGTCGACTATGAATATTAAATTTTTCGTAATGTGAAATGAACACTCACATAAACTGACTAGTAGTCTGAGTACTTTTCCGTAGATGGCACCATGGACCATTGTAATATATATACAATAATACGTAATATATAATGTATGATATACGGTACTTTAGTATACGATACTTGAGAGTGGATAAATGCTTTTTCACTCTACTGGGCCAAGTTTACTGACAAATAATTTAATTTTTATATTACAAAATTTGTTACATGTTGCACATTACTACAAATATCTGACCAGTAAATGTTAACATCGAATTGTCAACAACTTGAACACAACAGTGATACCAAGCGCACTTAACGTTTGAAAATAAACAAGATTACCGTCAGTGGACGTTTGTTTTAAAATGTGTATTGTTGAGACAAGGTACTTCAATTATGTAATTAAATCATTCCTAAAATGCAATTCTTGTACGAGGTTCAACTTAACCTAACGATGTAAACAATAAATGTTTGGTTGGTTTCAGAAGTATGTGAGTTTTTAATGTTAAACGAGGATTTTCGGTTGTTTATTTTTTTTTATTCTGGCAACTGTGTACTTTCAACTTAACAAAGATGCAGCGGACAAAGTTACCAATCGTTTCCATGCAACTGGATTCTTCGATAGCTATTAAAATGAACCTGGGTGGGTCCTTGTTCCAGGAGAGAACATTGATGAGTAGATCGGATGTATGGCATAAGATCAGAATTCTGAAGGGAACGCATTATGACAAAGAAACTGTATTGAAAGCTATATTAAACGCTATAGAGCCAGCAGAATTGGTGCCTGTTAAGTATCAAGCCCTCAGAGAGGACACGTACTTCTTAGCAAGAAACTGTGCCCATGCACTGGACAAACTGTGCAAAACTAACTTGATAATTAAAAATCCCGAAGGGGATCCACTAATACTAATAGTAACTTTAGGATTTGCGTCTATTCACGATCTCAAAATTAATCTCCAGCCGTTGCTTTTGGCAGCACTGACCAAAAAATATGATCCCAACAAGAAGAGCCTGAATTTGGAACAGTTTCACAAGGATCCTGACATGTCCAAGACTGTTTACTGCCCCCTGTCTCAACAGAGAACATTCAACCATGTTCTGAAATTGATAAAGACTGCTCTTACCACAGTGGAATACCTCAATCTTCAAAAGAACGAACTATTCAACCTATCACCTGTAGAAACCTCTAGTTTGATCTCTATCAAGTACTTAGATTTGAGGCACAATAACTTGTACAACATGGACACTCTTACACCACTGAAGAATCTCTGCATACTGAAGCTATGGCTGGATGGGAATCCGCTCTGCGAGAATTACGCCAAACCGAACCAATACATAGAGTCTGTAAAGAAGTATTGTCCCCATTTAATCCAGTTGGATGGAGTGTACGTTAACACATCCGGTCTACCGTTGACGTATACCAGTTGCTTAAAGGAAACGAGGGAGGAACTAGTCGGCAAATTTGTCTCCCATTTTTTCTGTCTGTACGATCAGGCGGACAGAACCGTCCTCCGTGGACTGTACCACAAGAATGCATTTTATTCCATGAGCTTGGGTATACTTCCAGCTATCGCTTGCAAAAGAAATCTCTCGCAATTCACCGCGTGCAGAAACTTAACAAGGAAGCCTGTGGATCCGAATAAAAAGAGGCAACACCTTTATTACGGCCAGGACAACATTCTGGGCGGTTTAAAGAGACTGCCCCGGTCCTGTCACGATCGAAATACATTCGTCTGCGACTTGATGTACGACGACGGAACATATCTAGCGATCTCGGTCGGCGGTCTGTTCAAAACTGTCAATAACGCCTCTCAAGTTTTGTACTTCAACAGGACGTTTGTGTTACTGGCCGGTAACGATAACGAGTACAACATACTGAACGATCAGTACTTCGTGGATTCGACCGTAGAGAAGATTCCCGTCAGTAAAATCGAGTCGAAGATCATGTACGAGGAAATTGTGCCGACCTGTTTCAGTCTGATCGAGCAAGAGGAATTAGTGAAGAAATGCGTCGATGCGACAACGCTTAATGAAGAATGGTGTCGTACGTACTTAGAGGAAGCCATGTGGAACATACGAAAAGCAATCTCGAACTTCATGAAGGACTACAAATCATCGGCGGTACCATCCGACGCCTTTAAACGATAGTATTGTATTTTGTAATTCTTTTGTATGTACGTGTATTGTTTTGCTACTTGTAATTGTAGACTGCTGTAACAACGTCTTTGTACAATAATGAAGGTATTTTACGTTCATATATCTTGAGAAAAGTATCATTGTTCCCTCGATCGTTATCGCACTTTGAGGTTGTATCTCTTCAAAGTGAACTGTAATTCAGACACAATGCTACACGATATCGTGAAACACGCGACTCTGTCATATTACCGACATTAAATACCTTTTAACTCTTACAGGGGGATTATGGATAGCTCATGCAAAAGATTTTCCTCGTCGGAGCGTTAATACGAAAGTGAAAATCACGGACCTTATCTACCTTAAACGATCAAACAACCAGCTACTTAATTATACAGACAGAAAGTCCCGAGCAATGACCATCATCATCACTTTTACCGTACAATCGGCAAAAACGTACGCAACCGATTTATAAAAGGAATGCTGCACTTTGATTAGCCGCGAGGAGAAAGAGCATCTCCACCTGTCGGGAACTATGTAATTATTCGGCCAGGCGATAAAAAAAGCGCGATAGCCTTGGAAATATTTTTTTTTTTTCTTCAGGAAGCATTCCCATCTTACGGTGTATAACCGTCCTAAGATCAATGAGCGCGTCGTGATGTTACTCGTCTGGCATTTAACCGAGAACCCCTCCTGATACTCGCTGACTTCATCGAAAGGTTATGCATTCAAGGATTCACGATGATTACAGGACTCGAAGTGAATGAAATCGAGCGGTTAGGGTTCGAGATGAAGGTAGAACTGGCTTCTTTTAACCGAATCTTCTCGTTGCAGTCTATTTAGACGACTCGTTTACGTAATAACGTCGGCTTACGTTCGTTGACCATTTCGGAATGTCTCGTAGATGCAGGCAGGCGGTGTCGACAAGGAAATCTTGAAAGAAACGCGTATTAAATCGCAATCAAAGCCCGCCCACTGGCTCTATTTACGACGTCCCGAGCAGATCCACGATGATCTTTTATACTTAGTGTGCACTGAACCGAGTATGCATATTGGAAGCAAGAGAATGTACAGTAAATCATCGATAAGTGTTCAGACGTCATACCCACCACTAGGCGTCTCATTTCAGCTAAAAAGAATATGCAATAAGAAATCTAGGGTTCCGTTTAAAAATTTGAATGTGACCTCCATAGGACTCTCCAGAGTTGTCTCAAGGTCAAATAGTTATCATCGTGATACGACACAACTTTCATCCGAAACATTTCTTCATATTTCTTTGCTACTCACAGAAATAATCGCATGAGTACACTTGAAACGGACATACACTGTATATCTCCCTCTCTCTTGAGATTCTATCTTCGAAAGCGTTTCCCATTGCGCAATCGGGTCGCTTCCTGGTCTCTCAAACCCGTGGCAGGAAGATGCCGTGAAAAAAAAAAGAAAAAATCAGCCCCAACAATAATGAATGGGGGGGGAGGCCTCGTTTTAACAACAATTACGGGATCCCAACGGCGCGCGCATACTTAAGCGACATAATAAAATGATTGTTGCCTACTGTGTGAGATTTCTGGTAGTCTCCCACGAGAGTTTTAGACTGGTAAAGAAAAAAGGAAGAAAGAAAAATAATGGCCCCACGCTTATTCCAGGATATGGGCCCCTCCGAGACCAATTACGACTTCCTTCGATCGGTCTCCCCGGTTCGGGAGACGCTTCTTTCTTCCTGGGTTCCGTCTGTCTGCCTCCTACTCTCAAGGTTCCGACACGAAAGGTTCGTCAAGCGTCTACATGCGTGACCGATGATCGCGAGGAAAAAGCACACGGACCGACACGCCGATTGCCGAACGAGGTACTGGAATCGTTTTGAAACCAGTGAGCTAATACCATCGAACTAGTGATTGGCGATACAGTAGTCGATATTTCGAATGTCGGTGCTATTCAATTCAGACATCGATACTGTTCAATTCAGATATCGGTACTATTCAATTCAGACATCGATTCTGTTCAATCCAGATATCGGTACTGTTCAATTCAGATATCGTTACTTTTCAATTCAAGTATCGATGCCAAATATCGATACAATTAAAATGTATCGCCGTCGGTAGATCGGACCCCGTCCACCGAATCTCGTCAGAAAATTCTCGGGACGAGAATCGCGAGAGGGCCAATCGGCAACCTTTCAGACGGCACTTGTGCAACCGGTCGCTTCTTTGTTGACCTTTGCATTTCCGACATTTCTCGAACGTCCTCATCGCGAGTACTTAATCGTGAACGTCTTCTCTTTCTTTGTATCGTTTCGTTTCGTTTTGCGTGCGGATCGTTCGCACTTCTCGACACCCCTCTATATTCTTACAGGGATTACGTAAATGTGGATTACGCGTTTTTCAGACCGTATTCAGGGCGAATTGTGCGGGAATAGACGTTGGAAGAGGGGGCAGGGAATTCAATCGTATGCGCAACTCTCGTGAGAGATTTTCACGGGGGTCCACGGACAGGTGCGATGACGAGAGTGAGAGGCTCGGTGTTAATTAGTCGTGGCACCGTGCGGTTAACAATGCAACCAGGAACATGGAATCCTGTCGTCGCTACTGTGGCGAATTTCCCCCCCGAAATGCTGGCCAAAAGTAATATTTCCAATGCTAAGGCAAACTGTTCAAGTATTTTATTGTAATATGACTCTAAAAACTTGAAAATATAATTGAATATTTAATTTGTTGTCTTGATTAGAATTAGAATTATTAAAAATATTGACAGTTTTGCAATGTATATTTCACTAGTCAACGAATAATATTATGTAAATGAACATTTACAAAAACAAAATCAATATTTAATCGTTTGCTTATTTTAAAAACCTAATTTACTCGATTTTATACATAATCTGCATCCACCCTATACATGTATATATTTAGTAACATTATTGAACAAATACCTATATAGAAGGTGTCCCAAAAAATGTGCAAGTCCTTGAAATTCGAGATCGATTCGATGCAAAACTAATTCAAACTACGGTTCTGATCTTCGATAGAGGAAGATCGACGAAATCCGCGGACGAGATGTTACGTGATCGGAGGTGAATCCCATTAGAAAGATCCGCGACGGTAATTGGAGGGGATGGCTAGCCTCACTGTACGGGGAAATGTGGATTCATTAGAGAAATGGTGCAACCTCGGCTGAATTTTAATCATCCATCCTCGCCGGATGGATCTCACGAACGCGTTTATGTAGATCCCTCCGTGGTTGCACGCAGAAACTATTCCGCGAACTAATCACCTGGAAGTCGTTTCTCTCGTCGTGTGTACCTGGGCAAGTTTTCGTACAGCAATTTCCAGCCAGTTCGCGACGGGGATCCTACGGGATTCTGCTGCCGCGGCGATAGGACTCATTATAAAACTCATTCGTGGGAATCGGTTCTTCTGATCCAACGAGCGTTACTTATGTAAATCCCCGAACGGCAATTTCTTTACCTCGCGATAATTTCATTTATCCTGCGAGGGGGCAGAAACGGACAGTTCTTGAATCAATCTTCCGCGAGGAACAACGACGCACAGTGGCCTGGAGAGTGGATTTTCGTGGAAAACATTAAACCCCCCTTAATTTCACGTCGACTACAATTCGAAACAATTGACTTTTGGCCAGGAAACACCGGGTTTCCAGACCACTGTGCTCGGTTATAACGATAGGAGGCGATGATAACGGACAGGGATATCTTTTCGACAGGAACGCAGGGGTACAGCGGAGCGTGGTTGCGCGATAGCTTCTGTCGCAATCATCGAGATCGTTAGATCGGTCCCGGTGCCACGAATGTGTCGTTGCTGGGGTTCGAATCTGGCACAAGGATGCGTTTCCCGGTCAGCTGAATCCTGTCGTTTCGTTTCACCTCGATGTTTCTTATATAGAAAGGTGGCGCCGAACGATATAAACGTTCCTCGACTCGTAAGACTCTGTTCCATGTAACAACTAGACTGCGGGACTTTATGGAAAATACAGTAATCGTAAAACTGACAAGGAACGGCACGGAAGTGTCCCACTCCGATTTTGATAAAACTTCCTTTGTCTGTTAAGCAGTCAAAAATAAGGGATACGTATTTTTTTTTTATCGGCTAAGACGCGACTTTAAGGGGTGAAACCAACCCTCGAAGTTTCGACCCGAAAGTACTATCTCGAAAACCAAAGGAGATACATGCAAAACTTCTAATGGACGAGGTTTACGGTTTTTTTTATGTAGAATAATATGGTGCTAACAAATTGTCCAAAATATTATTTGTTTGTAACAAAAAAAATTTCGAATCGAAACTTCGACGGGTGGTTTCACCCCTTAAAGTTGCGTCTCAGACGATAAAAAAAAATGAGTATCCCTTATTTTTGACTGCTTAACAGACATACGAAGTTTCATCAAAATCGAAGTGCTTTCCCTTCTGAGAGAGTCAATTGTTGAAAAGCTTCTTCGTTCGGTACGAAAATTTCCATAGGACCCTCTTCGCCGCGAATTCACTTTCTCCAGCGTGGTTATCGAACTCAGCCATCTTCGAGTATCATCCGAGCAGCCGTGATACTCGCTCCTCGTTACCATTCAATGTCTCTGAATGGCTCTGGTGTCTTCATATTCAGCGGTCGTGCCACTTTCGCGTGTTGATCTTTTCCGCCTCCCCCCTCTTTCCATGCATCTGCAAGATCGACCAAGTTTGGTCTAGATCGTCTTCGAATATCTTCTGTCGTGATGCAAGTGGAGGGTTGGATCAAGACTTAGATAGAACATGACGGTTTGAAGACGGTTCAAAGACGCCTTAGACCTAAAATAGCCGTAAAATAGGCGTCTCTCGGCATAAGGTAGCTTCCAAGTTTGGTATTTGGTAATTTGGTTGGTTTTCGTAATTCTGGTAGATTTTCCACGAAATTTATAATTATTACAAAGCTATCGTAACCTCCCTGGGGCGTCTGTGGTAGCAGGAGGAGAAGATACAAGACCGTGGAACCGGCTGCTTGTATAATCGCGACATGCTTCCACGTTCCAAGCCTGC